AGGATTCTCTTTGAACAACTTCTAACTGCTCATTCATCTCGATTCCACTCTGAATTCAAAGCACTCCGATTCTCACATGCACGAATCTGTTCAAAGCAGAAATTCACTGGCATCGATTGAATTACGACGAAAGTGTTGACACGTAAATCAAATTAATCGAGTGAACAAACCTTAAAAACAACTCACTCGCACTTCGAATGGTCGTGAAACTGTAATCGGTTGTGAACATCTCTTTTTCGACGTTCTTCAACTCATCCGTCAATTCATTCACCGTTGTGGCTGAAGAGGATCTTGTAAAATAATCATTATCATTATCAATGAGATTAAAACAAAGCAAAAACTGATCGAAAACTCACCTTTCGAATCTTCGATACATTTCATCAATGTTTTGATGGCGGCTAATCCAGTCGAATGGTCACAATCGCCGCTATAAAATTCACCAAACCTCCGTGCTACACTTTTCAACTCCATTTGTCTCTTAGAAATGTGCTTTCAGATCAGTTCATCAAATTTTGCTCACTAAATACACTGCAGCATTCAGGTGACAAACGCAAAAAGTAATGAAACATTTCAGAAACGATGTGAATGAAAATGAAATCAACTAAAATAAAAAAGAAACTGAAGAACGATGCATAGGATGAATTGATCGGAAAAATTAATTTTACGAACGAATATTTCCTAAATCGTTGAGAACAAGCTAAAAATGTTTTGAAATAATTCAAAAAAAACTCTCATACATGCAATTGGAATGAGATTGTTCCATATGCCGTGTTAAGTTTATTACGTTTATCATGGTGAGTTGCAAATTAAAGCGCATTCAGATCCACCGTTTCATCAGAAATATTTCAGTTAAAATCTATAATATTGCATATGATTTACAGCAAAATTTGATTTGCAACACCTCAAATACTTCGATCTCTCTCTCTATCTGTCTTCATGATGTCATCGGTACACGCCCATCGCATAATTCGTCCTACACCAAATTGTAAGCGAAAGTTCAGACAGACATCGTTAACGAAACGTTCGACCCACACCGTTAAGTAATGCTAAATTCGCTGTAAGCCAAGTTACATTGAGAAAAGTTAACTTATCTTAGCCTGTTCAAGTTATTAGACCTTGGCGAGTTGTTTTTGCAGAAACTTTCGTAATGCTGCATAAATCTGTGATCTTGTTCGCATCCCAAAAACAAAGTGTGGTGCTTGTTGATGCTTTCAGAACACATTCATGACTTGTTAAATGTTAAGTGAATATATTTTAGAGTGCGCTTCATAAATGGCTGCACCGACTGAACGATTCCATGTGCTGTCACAGCTAGATCATTTGCAGTCGAAATACACTGGATGTGGTCATGCGGATACGTCTCGTTGGGAGTGGATTGTTAATCAACATCGTGATACGTGTGCTTCTATTATTGGTATATATCATTTATTACTATCATTTTTGGTGTTCTTTCAGCTTATACTTCAAATTCATTGTTCTCAAGGGATACTTTCATCATTTTCAATGATTCATATAGTGGAGTAAAGGTGGATTGGATTGCAGGACATCCGGATCACTTAAGTTTGGTGGCAGTTTGTGAGAACGAATCTCGTGCTCGAGTCAAATTCAACCTACTCAACCAAATGATCTCGCCGTGCGGACCACCACCAGAAAAATCACCGCTTGATGATTAAATCATGTTTTTATGCTACATTCATGATCTACTTTTATTGTACTCGGCTCCACGGAGATTGTAAATAAACCATTGCATAACCTCACAATCAGTTGCGTGTTAACTGCTTTTTGAAATGTTAAACCATAATTGTTTCGTCACGAAATAAAATGAGTTATTGAAATACTTACAAAGAGTTATCGAGCACAAATTGATGTCACATCCAAAAACTGGAGGTTTTGAGAAGATAACTGTTTCGAGCAAGACATGTGACATGCAACAACATTGCCTTATTGAATGAAGGCAGTCCAATGCGGTCTAAGCATGTCTATTGATAAGTGTGTGCGTTGAATTTTTGCAGAGTTTCTGTCACATTTGAAGGAGAACATGTCTGTGTATCAAATGAATGAAATTCAAAAGAAACATCTATTGAAGACTGATGAAACTATCAGTATTAGTTTGTCACAGCGCAGAGTGTCATTTGTTTGAGACGTGTCGTAACACACGCGTTTCTAACGGCTACACCAACCAGTTCAGTTTCACCAAACTCAGACCACAGCAAACATTAGATTTGTTAGGCTAACAATAAGTCTGTTTAGCAAAGTCTGCACACAGCGCTGGCATTGCTAAAGCAATGTACATCAAATTGTAAAATATTTATCATTCATTAAACAACAATCGATCACTATGCGCTTTCTTTTCCAGTATATAATAAACTTCCAGCACGACGCAAGTGCTGGCAGAGCCTTTCGTCAGTTATTTGTCGAACTGATCAGCATTCATTCATGTTCAGTGTTTGTATTGGTGGTTTCGACGATACAGTGAGTAATGTTTGGGTGAATGCTGAACAATGGCCGATTATTAATGACAACGTCGATTGTCGTTGCCATTTTCGGTGTTGGCATTGTCGTGTTGGCAATCAAACATTTACAACTGAATGTGTTTAGTGGGCAGTGCTCGCAAGCAATTTGCTTAAGTATGGTGTGTTTCATGCGAGATGCGTTTTAGTGTGGTCGTCTCGTTAGAGTAAAACTGTATCATCCGATTGTAATGAACTTTTAAGTCTATCTCATGTATTTCTCATCCTAAATTTATAAATTTTTCTCAATGAAAGCCAAATCTAGAACTTATAGTCACTAAAAGTTGGATTTTTTCAAGTGTTTGATGTTGTGAAAAAATATAGAAAATGGGAACATTCAGTTTCATCGTGCCAGTGAGGCACGTTCCTTGAGATAATGGATTTTGACTCATTCACGGGTGATTTCTTATAACTGTAGCGCGAGCCAACAATGGGCGGACTTGCTAAAGGAGGGTGGAAATATTGTTCCAGTGAATACGAATATTTTTTAATTTTGTTTCGG